TTAGGTGATATGGAACATGACAAGGCGACGACATCGGCGAACGCCGACGCCGACGCCGACGCCGAGGCCGACGACGACGCCGAGGCCGCCGCCGCCGCCGCCGCCGACGACGGCGGCGACGACGCCCAGGCGGTGCAGCGCTGGGCTGCCGCGGAGGCCTCGTCGGAGGCCGCGAGGGCGCGCTCGGCCAAGAGGAGGCGCCTCGAGGCGGCGAGGCGCGCGCGGCGCGCGCGGGAGGCGGCCTGGCGCGAGAGGCGGGCGCGGAGCCGGGAGCTCACCATGGCCGACCTGCTCTCGCGCCCGAGGGGAAACTGGGTCTCCTCCTTCCCCTCTCCTCCTCCCCCTCCCCCTCCCCCTCCCTTTTCTCCTCCCTTTCCTCCTCCTGCTCCTCCTCCTTCTTCTCCTCCTCCTCCTCCTCCTGCTTCTCCCTCCTCCTCCTCCTCCTCCTCCTCCTCCTCCTCCTCCTCCTTCTCCTCCTTTCCGTAGCCATTTTGGCTCAAGTCCGTCCCTCCTCGGGATCTCGGATTTGGCCGAAATGGTTTCCATTGCCATCTCCCTCGAGGCCCCCCTGGCCTAGCGCCGCGCCGCCTGCCGAGTCCCGCGCTCCATATGTTTCCTCGATGCTTCGCGATGTGGTGCCTGAACCTGCTGGCCCTGGCCTTCATGCCGCATGCTCGGTCGCTGGCCGCTGCTCACGCTCGCCTCTGTCGTCACCTTCAGCGGCACGGGCAGTGCACCCACAAGCGACATGCTCTACAACTTCATCTTCTATTGCCCGATGCACCTGCTCAGGATTACAGAGATGCCGCTCATGGTCGTCGCCATGCCCTCGCTGCACACGCGCCTCATCCTCCTCTCGTTCCCGTATATCCTCTGGGGGTGTGCTCGGACGGAGCTGAGGGAGAGCTTCTGAAAGTGGCACGCTTCATATTTCAACTTCGCGAGGAAGCCGTTGGTGGAGCTGTGGGACCACTGCCACCGCTCGCCGCTGCAGCTCCGCTACGACATTGAGCCGGTCCGCTCCCCCAACCTGGGGCTGCACGTGATTTTTTTTGCTTCGGGTACCACGCCGAGCGGATGCTGGTGCTGGCCCGCCCCCCTCACATGTTCATGGCATCCAAGGCGCAGGACCTACTCCTGACGTGTTTCCTGATGCTGCCCATGAGCGTGGCCACCTGCACGTACATCAACGCGCCCGTGCTGCCACTGGGGCTCACCCAACTCATTCATCCGCTGCTGGTGATGCTCATGCCGCTGGCACTGCTTAAGCAGTCCTTCGTGAATCGGGCGCTCCAGCTGGTCCCCGCGAGCGCCGTGATTGCGGCGCTGGGGATGTTCATGCTGCTGGTGGTCAACCGTTTCCTGAACCCGTCGTTGGTGATGCTCATGCCGCTGGAGATTCAATTGCAATCCTTCGTCATCCGGGTGGCCCTGCTAGTTCTCACGGTGTCTCTCTGCATGCTGGACAACCTACCGTTGCTGACTGCGTTCCTCACGTCCGCTCTGCCGCCGATGCGGGAGGCGCTCCGACCAGCCCTGAAGGCGTTCAAGATCGTCCTGCTGCCCCTACACACGACGCTCCACCGCAACCTGATGGTGCTCAAGTCCGATCCACTGCCTCTGCCGGTGGCACCTCTCTGCATGCCGAGCAGCTTCATGTTGCTGATTGTTGCCCTTACGTCTGCACCGCTGCCGCTGCAGGTGGCGCTCCTGCGAAATCTGATGGTGCCTGAGGTCCCACCGCCGCTACTGGTGGCGCCTCTCTGCATGCTGCTCAACCTTATGTTGCTGACCGTGTTCTTCACGTCTGCTCTACTGTCGCCGTGGGTGGCGCTCCTACGAATCCTGATGGTCGTCAAGCTCGTCCCGCTCAAGCTCGTGATGGAGATTGTCACCACCAGCATCCCGAGGCTTGGAGGCGTCTCCTCGCTGCACGCCTATCGCACGCACCTCATCAGCCTTTCGTTCGGCGCCGTGATCGTCTTGACGAAGCCGCGGCGCGCCATCTCAGTCACATGCTCACTACTGGTCAGCTACAACACCACATACACGGAGGCCACGAAGATCCTGAAGCACGAGGCCGCATGGGCGATGATTGATGACCCTAAGCGCCGTATGTTGTACGACACTTTCATGGAGCAGCTTTGGCATCACTGCAAGCCCCACAGCGAGGGCGACTCTGACGCTGCAGAGTGTGGCGAAGATATGCATAGCTGCATAGCTCTGATGAGGAGGGAGATGAGGTGGCTGACGCCGCCCTTCCCGAACAAGATCTTCCTGAAGATGATTCTGGAGCCGCTGCCGCTGCTCGCCCAGCCCGCGTTCTGCATGCTGCTGCTTGCTACGTCCATCCCGAAGGCGTTCGGCATGAATGGGCTGTTCCTGGTGCTCCGTACCGTCACTGCTCGGCCGACGCCGCCCTTCCCGAACAAGATCTTCAGGATGCTGCGTCATTTCTGCATGCTGCTGCTGGCGACGGGCTCGATTGGGCGGTTCCTGGCGCTATGTACCTTCGCCGCTCGGATCTCCTCTAACTTCGATGCTGCTCCTCGTCTCCCGATGGCCTGGCAGACGAATTGGTCTGCCCCGCGTCGGAGCTTCAACATGATGTTCGTGCCGTCCCGCCGCGCGGAGTGGCGGATGATGCGCATGACGTTGGGGCCCCCGCTGCCCGTCAATGCAGCTTTGTGCCCCACGCCTGGCACACTCCTTCCCGCTCTTCTCCGGTTTCCTCTGCGTTTCCTCCCATCCCTGCTTTTCCTGTCTTTTCAAGCGCTCCCGAGCTTCTTTCCCCGCGCACGTAGCACGTCCGCCTGCAGCGGCCAGCGCTGCCACACATTACACCCAGTGGAAGTAGATGTAGCGGCAGCTGGAGGGGAGCGGGATCGGATCACTTGCCCTCTTTTCGCTTCTTGTCCGCCTGCCCTCGTCTCTTCCTCTTTGAGTACGTGCACTCCTCCTCCTCCTCCTCCTCCTCTTCCTCCTCCCCCTCCCATTCCTCCTCCTCCTCCTCCTTCTCCTCCTCCTCCTGCTCCTCCTCCTCCTGCTCCCTTCTCCCTCCTCCCTCCTTCGTCCTCCCTCCTCCCTCCTCCCTCCTCCCTCCTCCTCCTCCTCCTCCTCCTGCTCCTCCTCCTCCTACTCCATGCCTTTTTCCCTATAGATAACTTCTCCCTGCCGCACCCCGAGGACATTTGTTAGGGCGGGCCTGGCGTTTCGCCTGAGACTTCCTCACCATTTATGATTCTGAAGCTTACAACGTGCAAGCAGCTTCACAGATGGAGGGCGGGTCGCTTTCAAATGTTCCTGTCGCCTTAGCGCCGCGCACATTCGATCTATACCTTCGCAAGGGCTTCATGGAGGGCAGGTGGTTTTCAAAATGTTGTTCTCGCCGTAGCGCCTCGCACATTTGTTATAACAAGTTGCAAGAACTTCACGGATTGAGGGCGGGTCGTTTTCAAAATGTGGCTCTCTCTTTAGCGCCGCGCACATTCGCAATAATTTCACGGATTGATGGCGGCTCCTTTTCAAAATGTGGCTCTCGCCTGAGCGCCGCGCACATCCGTTGTAACATCCCGCAAAAGTTTCACGGATTGCGGGCAGGTGGTTTTCAACATGTTGTTTTCGCTTTAGCGCCTCGCGCATTCGTGATAATGAATTGCGAGTGCTCCACGGATTGAGGGCGGATCGTTTTCAAAATGTGGTTCTCGCCTTAGCGCCGCGCACATTCGATTTAAACATTTGCAAGAACTGCACGGGTTGAGGGCGGCTCATTTTCAAAACGTGGTTCTCGCATCAGGGCCGCGCACCTTCGTTTTAAATATTTGCAAGAGGCTCACGGATTCCCATGATCAGCGTACCAGAGATGGTGTTTGGGAATGATATAGGATTATGCGGGTGCAACAGTTATGATGGTTCGCGGCGTCGAAGTCCCAAAAATGGTTTTTGGCACAATTCCGGGTCGTCAAGACGCAGCAGTCAGGTTGATACGTCGCGTTGAAATTTTGAAAACAATGTTTTGGCATGCTTCAGGATCTTCAAACGGTTGTCTTCCAACGAGGCAGTTCCCTCAATGGAAATGAACCGTTGTAGGGGCCTATGAAGAGGGAGGGAGCTTGGCGGGAGGGTTAATTCCAACATCGTTGATGACTCTTGGGTTTGCACGGTCCGCCTCCTCCTCTTCCTCCTCCTCCCTCATCTCAGAGAAGTAGCCAGGCGCATGTCAGCGCCCGCCGCAGGATCTTGGCGAACGCTCGTTAAGCTAGAGAAAGATCTGAAGAGTCACGACAGGGTCAAATACACGTAAACATATCGGAAATCACACTCGAAATTCACGGCGTGGACAGACACCGATTGCGCAGGGTGTAAAAGGACGAGACGAGGAAGTCCGCGACTGGAGGAAGTTAGGTTGTTTAAAAGTCTGGCTCTATTGCTGACCAGGGTGGATCCCTCTAGCATCAATAGGTGATGGCTGCGCGTAGAGGTGCTGACCATATTGGGGGGATTCCGTAGGACAAGCGAGCTAGGATGGAGAAGGAGGGCGGGGGCATGGCTATCGATGGCGACGCCGACCTCGACGACGACGACGACGACGACGACGCGAGCGAGGGGCGGTTGTAGCAATGATGAAGAAGATGATGAGCATGATGAAAATACGAAGAAGGATATGAAGGGGAGGTTGGGGAGTCGACCAACACAGTGAAGCAGGCAAAACTGAAGGCGGGCATGGCCATGGACACGGCCGGCATGATCAAGGGGTAGTTCATTGCTTTGCGGGCGGATTTACCCAAGCTGGCCAAATACATCATCAAGGAAGAGCCAGCGAGGGCGGGGACTGGGGTTTCGAGGACGGCAGCGGGGTTCCAGGCCAAGGGTGAGGGGAAGGGCACGTTCGCGGTCGACGGCGCGGTGGACGAGAAGTGGTCCCGCACAGTTTGTTTTGGAAAGTTCCCCGAGGATAGCAAGGCAAGGGATCTCATCGAGTTCATGGAGGGGGTGATGGCCGAGGCTCGTCACAGCATCGAAGAGATCTTTGCATATTGTAAGAAGTTCGCGGGGGGGGTGGCGCTAAGTTCAAGACCTCGGAGGCCATGTGGAGCTACATGAGCAAACGCGCGGGAGAACACGTGCACGAATACAGGGGCACGAAAGTATACTGCAACACAGACGCAACAGCGAGGGCCCCCAAATCAGAGGAGGAGATGAAGAATCGCGGCATTAAGAAGTTGATGCGCACGATCATGGAAACATTGGTGGAAAAACCGCAGTGAAGCCGTGTATCGGCATCAACTACACTAAAGGCGCTGTGTGGTATTAAGCTATACGGGTAGTGGTGTGGGCAAATGGCAAGATGGAAATGGTCGTGAACAGGTAGGGTGGGAAGACCATTGCGAAAATATGTTCGCCATTGAATAGGAGGCCGGGGCGGCCAAGGCGTCGCAAAGGGGTGGCAGGGGTATCTATGCGATAATATGCGGGGATGTGTCGATGTTTTTTTTCTGCGAACGCCAGAGTGGTGAAGCCAGGGCCGATAAGCCAGGCTGATGTCCCAGGGTGCGCGGGGAGCGGCTCGACGGCTACTGGGCGAGGCAGGGATTACATGAATGTCATCTCTTGGAATTTGCGGCATGCGGGAGGGGCGTAAATGAGACGTGGCCGATATTCTGGATGAAAGGATTGACTGGGATGTCTTCTGTGTCAAGAGGGACCCTGGGCACAGAGTGCATCAGAAAAGGATACTGGAGCATGGGCATGCGTTCATCATCTCCCCGGAGGCTCGCGCTAAGCTATCCGTGCGAATGTTGCCATACGGGCGGCGAGGCTTGAAAGGCGCAGACGCGCGGTTCCAGGATCCGAGTGCCACTTTAGCATACATGGACGTTGCGCTGCATGATTCCCGTTTCAGCTTTCGCACTGTGACTTCGCATTTGCGCCGCGGAGGGTGCGCGGACGAGGATTTCGAGGAGGGGTTCCTGGATCTGGGGGCAGTGATCGCGGATGCCAGGGTTCAGGGACGACGAGTGGTGTTGGGCATGGATGCGAATGCAATTCTGGGCGAGCGCTTGTTCTGCGACGACGCGGATGCAATCAGGCCGCGCGGTCATGGAGAACGGAATTCACGAGGACGCGCACTCAGCCATCTGCTCCATGGCGTCCGTTCGGTGGCCGCCGCGTCTCTGCGCGGAAAATCGTGGGATGAATCTTGGCGCAAGGGTTATGGGGCACAAGGCAGGAACGACTAATTGATAATATAGTTGTGGATTGTTTGCATGCCGCCACGGTGTGGGGCGTGGGGATACACCGCGAATTAAACGGCAAATCGAACCACCGGGCGCTGCGAACGACACGACACTCACACATGAGACGACTGCAACCCCACGGGCACGCACACAACGGTTGATGCGAGGATGGGCCCAAGATCTAGACATGGCGGGATATCGTCATGAATTCCATGATTTGTGGACAGTTGGGCTCGAGGAGTGCCATGCGAACATAGTGGGCGTGAACGGCATGGTTGTGGATGCGGCGAGGGCGAGCAGCAGCGTGGTCGAGAAGGCTCCCCGGAAGCACGCAGACACGATCAAACAGTTGCTTTTTAGAGAAGGTGAGCGACGTGTCCAGAGGAACGCAAGGTCTTGTCCAAGAAGGTGTGGAGGGAGCTTCGTAGAGAGTGGCGTCAAAAGCAAGGCCGAGAGATTGAATATTGAGCGGAACAAGGAAAGCATATCCAGTCTCCGCAGCGCGCTCAACAACGCCAAAGAGGCATCGAGCGGGCGGCGGCAACCAACGACGCCGAAAGGGAACGCGCCCCAGACAGCGGGGCCGTCGCGGAGATCGTCGCACAGTTCTACGAGGGCCTGCACAAGGGGCGCGATCTCGAAACCACAGGGCCGCAATTCCGTCTGCCCGGAATCGCGCCCCCGGTGTCTCGAGAAGAGCTCACGGCAGCGCCGAAGCGCGCGAGGAAGAAGCGCACCTGTGCGGATGACGGCCCAGTGGTGGAGGTGCCCCAGACAGGACACTGCCCCCAATCTGGTTTGTTTCGGAGGCTGTGCGCATGGCGTCATGGTATCATTCCTCTCCACGTTGAGCAACTCATTAACTGTATCACTCACATGGTTGGACAGTCGCAAGCAGATCTTCGCATATCCATTTTGCGGATCGAATGTCATGGCATACGTACTACATCACGTTTCCGCTGTGTTCTTTGTGGCTGTGTATTTGGTTTTGCTCGCGTCGGGAGCGGACCTTGACAATTTGAAGCGTTACAAAACCTGCCCGAGTCTCCACAACCCCTTGCCTTCCCATCTTGGCTCTCGCCTCGCCGATATCTGCGGAAACTGGCTATCTGAGCTTACTATGTTTGCTCCTCTCTTGCTGCGCTGCTCCGTTTTACAAGGTCTTTGCGACGCTTTCGTTTGTGCACGCGCACACGAGTGTGCGATAGGGTAACACTGCGACCGTCCAACAAGCTCTTCATGCCAGGTTCCGTCTGCACTCGAGGCGGCACTCTGCCATCCGAGTGGCCTGGAGTGAAGTGAGACAAAGGCTAAAGTAAAGCGCCGGTGGAAGTGGGGCCTGAAGAAACATTATCGTCATCATCATCATCATCATCATCATCATCATCATCATCATCATCATCATCATCACATCATCAGGATCAGCATCCCCATCATCGTCATCGTCATCATCATCATCTTCATCAGTGTGGTCATCATGGTCATCATGGTCATCACCGCCATCGTCATCGCCAACGTCATTTTCATCAACACCATCGTCATAATCGTCATCAACATCACCATCATCAACAACATCGTCATCGTCGTCATCACCACTCTTGTTATGCTCCGTATCGTCCGTGTTGTTCCTTGCTTGCACGAGGGATCCTCCGAGAGGAGCCCTCCGCACTCCCGGGGTCGGCGACTCTTGCGAGACCGCCCGCCGCCCGGAGGACCGCCACGAGGCTGGGCGCGTCGTCGCCTACGACGCCGCGCGGGACGTCTACCTCGTCAGCTACGACCGTGCCGGCGGTGAGCCTGGGCTCGCGTGGGAGGCCGAGAGGATGCACTGGTCGGAGGCCGTCGGCCTCGAGTCGGGTATAGCCAGGACCAGGACCCCAGGCAAGGCGACCCGGTTAGTAGTAGGGCCCCGGAGCCCCTGAACCTGGTTTTTTTCTTCTCGGCGAGAACCATCGAGGACCATCCTGGACCATCGAGCAACAAAAAAACGCGCACGAAACCGACAAATGCACAGGAAATGGACGTCCGAGCGACGGCAGGTGAATAGACCAGAGTCATTAAACCAGGTCTGCCGTAGCTGGTGTTTTTCGGGTGGCAGCAGTTCTGGTTGGTGGAGCGGGGCGGGGGGGGGGGCCTCCCCCAGCACAAATCATGAAACCAGGTCCCACGAAACCCAGTTCTGCCAGCGCCCGATCTGGGTCGACGCCTTCTGCCCTGGGGCGTTCTGGACCCCTCGTCGGCCTCTGGGGCTCTGGCTCGAGAGGCAGCGGGCGTGCCGGTGCCTTCGGCGGCCTCCCGGGGGGATGCCTCGTGGAGTCTTCGGGGGATCCCTGGGGATCCTAAGGGCCCCGGCCCGCCCGCGCCGACCCTCAAGGGTCCCGCTCCGGCGGACTTGCGCGCTTCGCTTCGCTTCGCTGGGGACCTCGAGGAGGTGGTCCTGGCCCAGGGTGTCCCCGCCGCCGCCGGGGCTAAGTGGATGCACTGGTCTGAGGCCGCTGGCCTTGAGTGTCAAGGCTTCTGGGGCGCATATCGGGCCCGGCCGGGCTCTGGTCAAGGCCGGGCCGGCTGGTGATTTCTGGGTGGAGTCCTCAGGCGGCTCCTGTGGGCTTCGAGGAGGTGGTCCTGGCCCAGGGTGTTGAGGGGACCTTCCTGAGGCCCACCCGACGGATCTGCTCGACTCACGTTCGATTCAGATCGACGGACGTTCGACGCAGCATCGACGTCTCCCCAGCACGAGCATCTAAGGGTGCCCCCACTGCCGCCGGGGCTGGCCCACGATGGTCCCCCATGCGGCCCCAGAGACGCGAGGCTGCAGAAGGGTGGCCCGCGAGCCGGGGACGCTCAGGGCCAGGGGCGCCGCCTGCCGGGTGCCCCCCCCCCCCCCCCAGCCCAGGGGCGCAAAGGTCACCGCGCTTCGGGGGCGGGGAGGAGTAGGGGAGCGATGCATCGGCAGGAAAAAGGTGTTCTTTATCGGGCCCTCAAGGCCCCCTGGCATCGCTCGGACGTGTGCATTTTTTTTCTCTACGAGGACCATCCAGGACCATCCTGGACCATCGAGCAACAAAAACCACGCGCGAAACCGACAAATGCACGGGAAATGGACGTCCGAGCGATGGCGAGGCCCCCCGTCTGGGCCGGAGAGGCCCCCTTTCTGGGAACCTGAAGCGGGCCCCTTCTCTGTATACTCCAGATTTCGTAATAAAGCGAGGGGGGTCTCATTTCGGGGGGGGTCTCTTCCAGGCTATCTTGGAGGGCCTGGGGGGTCTGGGGACGATGTTTTGGAGGGTTCTCCCACGGGGGAGGTCTGAAATGGCTTGGAGCTTCGCGCGCCGCGGCCGGGGCCACGCCGTGCGGGCCGGGCCCTCTCTGGGGCACGGCGCCGGGGCGCGCGGCGCGCGAAGGCGGGCAGCCCGGCTCCCGTCGGCAGCCACGGGATGCCCTGGTCGGGGCAGGCCGGCCAGAGGCCAGAAGTCAGGAGGGGGAAAAAACAAACAAAGACACAATTCGTCGTCGGTTCCCCCGAAAAAATGTATGGGAAAATATGGGAAGTGGGGGGGAAGACAGAAACCCAGAAAGTATATGGAAAATGGTGGGGAATCATTTGATGTGTGTGCATTTATTTGTGTGTTCTGGGGCCCCTTCAAGCAGAGCACGGGAGCGGGAACTTGGGACTCAAGCAGTGGCGAAGCGTCCTGGCTCGCCCATAGCCTATAGCCTACCAGTCAATGTTCTGAGAACCTCTTGTGGCTTCCACGACGTGTTCCTATAACATCTCTGGTTGAGATTGCCTTGTTTTATCACATCGGGCTTATGCTCTAAGAACATTGTTTTTTCTCTCAGAACATTTTGGGGTTCTAAGAACATGTCGTGGTAGGACTATAGGAATGCCGGGCCCGGATGGTCGGTCCCTGCTCAAAAACTTGGGACGACTGCGGGCGGCTGATCTCCCCTGGCGCCCCGCACCCGTGGGCGGCGCCTTCGGCGCCGGCCCCGGTGCGCTTCTCGCGCCAGGGCACGGATGTGCAGAGGAGACAGCGCGGTGGCTCAGTTGCCTCGATGCGCCCGTTTTGAAACGCAGCACGCCCCGTGTTCAAGACGTCCGTGTCAATACAGTCGGCCCGGATTGGTAGGTCGACCCTGCCAGCTCAAGGGTACCCTTGTGTCCTGTGCCTCGCGACACGTGATTCTTTACACTCCTATGGCGATGTGGCCCTCGGAAGGGTTTTGTGTCCTCTCGCGTGTCCTGTCCAATCAAGGCCGACTGTACGTTGCGTGTCGGCTCCACGTATTGGACCACGTTTTGGCGAATGCATCGCGTCGGACCCACGTGTTCAGCCTGCGTGCTGAGCTCCGTAGCTGTACGATACGTGCTGCGTGCTGCGCATCGGGGCAGCTGAGCGTGGTGGAGAGCACGCTGCCGCACGCGTGCGCTGGCCGAAGTGCCGGCCGACCTCCATCAAGCCAGAGGAGAAAAAACACACAGACACAATGAATCGTCGACTCCCCCGAAAATAGGGGAAACTATGGGAGGTGGGGGGGGAGACAAAAGCCGAGAAGATATGGGAAAGTCTGGGGGATCCTGTTCTCTGTGTGTATTTATCTGTGTGTCCCAGGGCTCCTTCACTAAGCCACGTTTTGCTAAAGGGTTTCTGTCCATCCCCGATACAGTCAAAAACCCGAACAAGGACGCGCGGTAAGGACGCAAGACCCTTGGAAGCCGAAGTTGGGATTTCTGGGGCGGTGGACGACGAAAACCTCATGGACGCAAGAGCAAGGAAGAGCAAGGACGCAAGGGTACCCTGAGCAAAATCGCGCGTCCTTATTCGAGTTTTTGATTGTACATTCATCAAAAAAAACTCCCCCAGTGACCGCCCAGCTGCCGCCTGACCCCCCCGCGCCCGCGCGCAGGCTCCCCCGTGGCCATGTGCTAAACCTCCCCCACGTCTAAACTTCAGTCGGGCCTGCCCCTCTACAGGAGGAGTAGGAGGAGGAGGAGGAGGAGGAGGAGGAGGAGGAGGAGGAGGAGCAGGAGGAGGAGCAGGAGGAGGAGCAGGAGGAGGAGCAGGAGGAGCAGGAGGAGGAGGAGGAGGAGCAGGAGGAGGAGGAGCAGGAGCAGGAGCAGAAAGAGGAGGAGGAGGAGGAGGAGGAGGAGGAGGAGGAGGAGGAGCAGGAGGAGGAGGAGGAGGAGGAGCAGGAGCAGGAGCAGGAAGAGGAGGAGGAGGAGGAGGCGGAGGCGGAGGAGGAGGAGGAGGAGGAGCCGCACACCAAGCCGGAGATGCCGCACGCCGGCGCTGCGGGGGAGCGCGCCGACTCTCCGGCGCCAGGCCCCGGGGCCCCGCGGGGGCCCCGGACCCTCGCAGGGTCTCCTCGTCTCCGCGCCCGCCCCTTTTGCGAGCAGTGCCGACGTCGAGACGTGGATCCGCTGGTGGGTCCCGGGCTGCACCACGATGTGATCCCAGACCTGATCGCGTCGTAAAAAAAAAATCGGGACGGGCGGGTTTCCTCTATTCTCGACCCCATGGGGGCCCTCGCCGGCCCCCGGGACCGTCAGAAAACGCGACTCGGGATGGAAAGCCGGCCCCGGGGAAAGGGTCTGGTTTTCCGGGGACGCCGCCTGGAAAAAATCAGGACGTCGCGTGCCTGGGATGCGATGTGGAAGCTGTGGCTCCTCTTTCCGGTGCTTGGTCGACCTCCAATGCCGGGCGCTGCCCAGCCCGCAGAGCTTTGCTGCCCGTGGACGCCCGCAGCTCATGCTCGTGTGCCTCTCCGCGTGCCCTTCTCCCTTCCTCTCTGTGGGCAGTGAGCATACGGCGGGGGCGTTCGTTAAGGAGCGTGCCCGGGACGCTTCAGGCCCTGGAGGGTTCCTTATCTGATGAGGGCGGCGATGATATCCATGGCCGATCCACGGTTCGAGTTCCACCAGCTTCCAGGCCCTGGATTCCTCATCTAAGGGTTCCTTATCCAATGCCCTCACCGTGCTCCTCCCTCGCTGGTGTGGGGAGGCAACCAGGTCACCCGCTGGGGCGCTAAGATAATCGTCCTTCGCGCGTCGCGGCCTGGGCTGCAAAGCTGCCCTCCTCCAAGGCGGCGGCGCGAGGGCGCGAAGATGGCCGCGGGGCGCGACACACGACGCTGGGTGACCCAGGTAAGGAGCTGAACGCCGCGATCGCCGGTGCCAGACCCCCGACGGGAGGAGGAGGAGGAGGAAGAGGAGGAGGAGGAGGAGGAGGAGGAGGAGGAGGAGGAGCAGGAGGAGGAGGAGCA